TGCCTTTATTTTTATGTGGTGCTGAGGATGGAACCCAGGTCCCACCCACACTAGGCGAGTGCTCTACCACTGAGCCACAATCCCAGCCCGGTTTTTATATTTTTAATGGGTTAAAAACTCAAAAAACATTTTATGACAAGGGAATATTATGAGAAATAGACATTTTAGTGTCCATAAATAAAACTGGTTACCACTTCAATGCTACAAAATTAGAGGGACTATTACAGACCAGAGGAAACTAAGGTGACGTGAGTATTTCAGTACATACGTATAGTTATCCTGAGTCAGATCTTGAAGCACACAAAGACCTAGTAGAAAAACTGTTGATATCTAAATAAAGTCTGGGGTTTAGTTAATAATAACTTATTGATACTGATTTCTTAGTTTTACAAAGGTTCCATGGTAAAGTAAGCTGTTAACAATAGGGGAAACTAGGTAAGGAGTAATTAATTTTCTGTAAATCTAAGTCTATTTCAGAAAAAAAAGTTTATTAAAAAAAAAACAACAACAATAATTGAAAAGTCCCTTCACCAAGTCACAAACATTGATTTAGAAAGCCATCTTGATTTATTAAGAAAATTTATTTATTTATATATAGGTAAAGTCATACATAACCTTAAAGGGACATCTCTGTTAACTATTTTCATGAAAAAGTATTTTTTTTTTTTAAAGAGAGAGTGAGAAAGAGAGAGAGAGAGAATTTTTTAATGTTTTTTTTTAGTTTTTGGCGGACACAACATCTTTGTATGTGGTGCTGAGGATCGAACCCAGGCGAGCGTGCTACCGCTTGAGCCATATCCCCAGCCCCATGAAAAAGTATTTTTGAACGGTAGTCTATTGACTTTTAATTTTTAATATTGTTTATTTTATCCACATTTGCAAAACAATGAGCTTACTATAGAAACAGCCTTAGGATCTACCATGTAATAAAAATGCATAGAGATGTAGAATGGCTGTTCAGGTTGTGTTCCATGGGTTTTCTCATTCTTGGCTTTCAAATTGACATATTCAAGAATTTCATTCTATTCTTTCACTCACCAATGATTAAGCTCTTGAAATTGGTTGTAGCTTGGTTATAGTTTACCAAATTTCCAGAAAATGTGAGATTTGTAGTCAGAAAGACTGAATATTTTCTCCACAAATTTGTAGCTGAATGACATAGAATAAACTACTTAAGCCGGGCACAGTGGCGCATTCTTGTAATCCCAGCAGCTTAGGAGGCTGAGTCAGGAGGATTACAACAGCCAGGTGCTTAGCAATTCAGTGAGACTCTGTCTCTAAATAAAATACAAAATAGGCTGGGGATGTGGCTCAGTGGCCGAGTGCCCTGAGTTCAATTCCTAGTACCAAAAAAAAAAAAAAAAAAAAAAAAAAAAGAGGGCTGGGGATGTGGCTCAAGTGGTTACACGCTCGCCTAGCATGCGTGAGGCACTGGGTTTGATTCTCAGCACCACATAGAAACAAAATAAAGATATTGTGTTCACCTAAAACTAAAAAATAAATACTAAAAAAAAGAATAAGCTACTTAACTTTTACAAGTCTTAGTTTTATATTATTTTGCTTTTTTCCAAACTATCTCTTTTAGAAGGTAGATATGAAAGTTGTTTATAAACTATGAAATAACACCTTGTAAATGTTTGTTGATTTTATCTGTCAGGACTGCTGAATACTGCTCCGAATTATCAAAGTACCCATTCTTCTTCTTTTTCTTTTTTGGAACTAGGGATTGAACCCAGTTTACCACTGAGGTACAACCCCAGTTCTTTTTATTTTTTATTTTGAGACAGTGTCTCACTATCTTGCCAGGGGTCTCACTAACTTGCAATCCTTCTGCCTCAGCCTCCTGAGTTACTGAGATTATAGGTGTGTACCTACCATGGCTAGCCCTTTTCTTTATTATGACACAGTCATAAGATTTGGCTTTTGTTTTTCTAGATTTATTTTTTTTCCAGTACTGGGACTAGAACCTAGAGGCTTGCATATGCCAGGCAGGCATTCTACAACTGAGCCACATTCCCAGCCCAGTAGTTCTTTTTTTGTTCTACTGGTAACTTGAACTCAGGGCCTTGCATATGCTAGGCATGTGATTTACCACATAGCTAGGCTCTCAGCTCCTTCGTAATATTTTTTTCTGGTATTACCAATAATTACATTGCATAATGCATTAGAGTTTACAGATGTATCTGAAGATTTAAGTTTCCAAGATGATGATGTTGTTAGAAACAGATTGGAGGGAGCACTGACTTGTGTATTCGGTTTACTTGCTATCCTGTGTGGCCACTGCACCAGGGAAGTAGTTTGCCTGCGTCTCGCTTTTGCTATTTCCATGTGGGGAAAAGCCTGACAATCTCAATTGTCATTTGTCATACATGTAGAGACACCCATGTGCCAACCTCCTCCTGTTCGGCCACCCGGTTTGATTCCTGTATACGCCTATAGAAAACCCACTCTGCCCATAGCACCAGAACTATTTCCAACTGTAGTCTATCACAGCAATCCATACTACTCAGTAGTCTGTTTGCAGAATCCTTCCCTAAGCATGGCCAAACAGATTTCCCTGTGCTTAATGTTTTAAGCCATTTACTATAAATAGAGACTTTAAAAAGTGTTAGTTATTCTTTGATTTCACATCACTATAAAAACATAACAGAAAATAATTGTATATCCCACATCTCCAAGTATTCAGAATATGAATGGGTAGTATATATTTTAAAAGATAAACTCTTTCAGAATATTTGAATAATAGTTGTACCAATGGTTTAACAATTTGAACTGAGAAATATTTATTGTAACCAAATCTTTATCTAACAGCAAGAGACCCACAAAGTTCAATCAAATGATGGAAAAGAATTGGGTATAAACGATCATGTAGTACCTAAAAATATTCCCAAAGTAGCTGAGAATGCTGCAGAAAAGAATGAAGAACCGTCCAGCAATCACATTCCACATGGGAAAGGTATTATTATTTTGTTTTGTGTTAATAAGATATTGACCTTTTCTTCCCATTTCTAAGTGAATGTTTTTCATTGCAAAGAAAATTGTTTGATTTTAGTTCATATATGATTAGGTGTTTTTTTGGTAGCAGGGATTGAACTCAGGGTCACTCGACCACTGAGCCACATCCCTAGCCCTCCCTGTTTTATATTTTATTAGAGACAGGGTTTCATTGAGTTGTATAGCACCTTGCTAAATTGCTGAGGCTGGCTTTCAACTCACTATCCTCCTGCCTCTGCCTCCCAAGCTCTTGGGATTACAGGTGTGCACCCGGTGCCTGGCCATGATTAGGTGTTTTTATTGTTTAAAATCTGGATCTTTTGATAAAAAAAGTAAAAGCTATTTAGAGTTAAAACTGTGTCCAAAGCAAGAAGTAAGACATTCAGTCAATGTAGCCTATTGCTTTAAGAACTAATTTTACTTTCCTTCAAAACACTTTGAATTTCTATAAGAAAAAGTTACAGAAATCATATCTTTTTTGTTCCTTGGGCAGAACAAATCAAACGAAGTGGTGATGCAGGGATGCCTGGGATAGAAGAGAATGACCTAGCAAAAGCTGATGATCTTCCCACTGGTAAGTGAAAATTATTAGAGAATTCAACTAAGGTTATTATTTTTCATGTTACTGCATTCTTTCTTTGGGTGAAACTTGGAAAACCACAGATATCTACATAATTGGTATGTCTGGTTAATTACCTATTAATTTCCCAGATCTTTTTTTAAAAATATTTTTAGTTATATACAGACTCAATACCTTTATTTTACTCATTTATTTTTATGAGTACTGAGGATCGAACCCAGTGTCTCACATGTGCCAGGCAAGCACTCTACCACTGAGGCACAATCCCAGCCCCCAGACTTTTTTATATATAAAGTTTATTAAATTTCCTTACTCAATATGTAGAATCCTTGTTTTGCTATTATAAGAGTCAGCCATTTTTCAATCTTTTCTTGATGACTCTATGTTATTGTTCATGAAAGCTATGCTGTGTTGGAGTCATTTATTGTTTACTAAAAGTACACCAGACTCTTCTTTCATACTTAGTAGTCCTATATTGCTGGGTTGGTGTGCTAATGTGGGCTAGTAATACTCTTACATGAGCTATTTAGATTTTAGGGCTTGTCTTGTCTTTCCATTAAATCACCCCACATGTTTATTTTTTTGTTTTTGGATGCTGCACATTAAACCCAGGGCCACTCTACTGTTGTGCTACATCCCCACCTATTTTATTTTGAGACAAGGGCTTGCTAAATTGCCAGGTCTACCCTTCCACCTGGCTTTCCCCACATTTTGGGTGATTTATTCACTTTTTTCCTTTTTCTTCTTTTATGGCCACTTATTTTTCCTGTATAAATTTTCATTAATGTGTTTGCTGCTTATCCATTTTCATTGGAAATCCTAATCCTACTTGCTGTCTTTTTTTTTTTGAGGGGGCGGGGGTCCCGGAATTGAACTCAGGAGCACTCGACTACTGAGCCCAGTCCTATTTTATATTTAATTAGAGACAGGGTCTCACTGAGATGCTTAGTGCCTCACCGTTGCTGAGTCTGGCTTTGAATTCATGATCTTCCTGCCTCTGCCTCCCAAGCTGCTGGGATTACAGGTGTAAGCACCATGCCTGGCACTTGCTGTCATCTTATTCCATTCATTTTTTCCCCTTCATATCGCATTGTTTTTCTATCCTTCTCTAATGTTCTTGGCTATTATGTAGATAACTCTCTGCCAAATTCCACTTATTATGGTGGAAAATCAGAAGTAACAGCACATTTTTGCCTCTTCTTGGATGTTTTTATTCCTTCTCAGTTTCAGCAGTTATTTCTGTGATTATGGCTAAAATTACTGTGTACGTATCTGAAATTACTGTGTCTGAGGCCCAAGTGAGTAAAGAGTTTTGTTATCTTCTAAAATTCTTCCATGTCTAAATTCTTGTGGGTTTCCAATTCTTAAATAAAGAAAGGACAAGAGCTGTAACATGAATTTGAAAATACTAAGGTAGCCTCAAGATCCTGGGTTTTAGCCTCCCCCCACAAACGAAAGAAAGGAAAAACAGGTATAGTGGTACATGTCTGTAACCCATCTACTCAGGAAGCAGAGGCAGGAGGATAGAAAATTTGAGACAACCCTGGCACCTTAGTAAGACCCTGTCTCAAAAATGATTATTTTTTTTTAAGAGTTAGGGATGTAGCTCAGTAGTAACGCACATACCTGGCATGCATGAAGCCCTGGGTTCAATACACAGT